AAAGAGGGGGGGTCTTTGTAAAAGGGAGGTCAAAAAAATTGGGGGTCTTTGCAAAGGGAGGGGGGGGGACTTTTCAAAACAACCCCCGTCCCCCCCTTTATTTCTGCCTTGGCTCCTTGCAGGTGGTGCCCATTGGACAAAAAAACACCAGAGGCAGCAGCGAGGGGGTGAACCAGCAAATGCCCACAGCCTGGGGCGGGTGGGGGCACTTTTGGGGGTGCTTTTTTGGGGGTGTTGGTGCCTCCCCCACCCCCAGCTCACCCGTGGGCTCCCAGGTTGCAGCCGGAGTGCCAGGAGGAGGAGGAGGGGGGTGGGCGGATGCGCTGGTTGTCGTCCTGCATCTGGAGGCGGATGGGGCGCCGCAGCCCCCAGGAGATGTTCAGCAGCCCCTCCACGATGAGCTCCCCTTCCTCCTGCATCCCAAAAAAACACGGCATTGGAACGTGTGAACTTTAATAAACCCCTTCCCACCCGAACCATTCAGCGATTCTGAGATTAAAAGGCGGTTTGTTTTTTTTTTTGGACCCCCTAAATCCACTCGGTGTCACCCCGTGCCTGGGAGGGCCAAGGGGGCAGATCCTCCTGGAAAATCTGGAAAATAAGGGTTGGTGACAGCCAGAATGGCTTCCCTGGGAGGAATCACGCCTGGAAAACTTGATGGCTTTCCAGGATGGGGCTACAGCACCCCGTGGGGGGATGAGGGATGAGCAGCTGATGTCATTTCCCTGGGCTTGGGCAATCGTGACATGGGATGGTTTGGGTTCCCCAGTCAGGGAATTCCTTCTCCACTCAACAAATCCAGTCCCTCCAGTTCAGAGAGAAGATCCAAGGCCAGGCTGGAGCCACCTGGGCTGGTGGAAGGTGTCCCTGCCCGTGGCAGGGGGTGGGATGAGATGGGCTTTGAGGTCCCTCCCAACCCAATTCCATGATTCCACGACTCCCTAAGCCCGAACCAAGCCCTGGTTTCCCTCTGCCTGGACCCTCCTCACCTCCCGGTGCCGCAGCTGCAGGTTCTGCCCCTCGTAGTAGATGTTGTAGGTCTTCAGGTGCAGGAGCAGCTCATTCCTTGGGGGCAAAAACGAGGGAAAGGTGCTGAGAAGAGGTTTGGAGGAAGGAGAGGAGGTGCTGCAGGCACCACCCACTGAACCCCTGAGCTGGATGGGGAGGGAATTTGGAGGATCTGGGAGAAAGCAGGAATTGCTTCCCTGGTTGAAGAACCTGCTGTGTGAAGAACCCCCCCCCCTTACTGGGGGACCCAACAATAGCTGGATTTGAGGCAAATTTGGGTCTTTTGGCACCTCTAGACCTGCCTTGTTGAAGGCATCAACCCACAACGAGGGGAGAAGCTCCCTGTGACCGTGGCCCCCCTAAATCCCCCAAAGAGATGTAGGAAAACCCGCCAGACCTCGGGGCAGTCGGTCACAAGGTTGAAAAACAAACCCATTTTCAGGGCCCCCAAGTCTCTGGGGTCATGTGGAGTCACAAGTTCTCCCAGGCTGGTTTCCCATGTT